TTCACCTGGCAACTATGAACAGTCGGTGTGTTGCTGTTTTTGTATTTTGTTGTGCTTTTTACATGGCTGCGTCCAGCTGGGTCAGTGACGGCGTGCCGCGTTTCATCGTGGTCCTGCGATGTCTCAGCGCAGAGACAGAGATAAAGCAACAGTTGAGGTGGGCCTGACTCTTGTCGCCCTCAGCTCCATCGAAGATGAGCTAAACGCTGCGAAGGCAATTTTGCTGTGAATTTGCGCCCCTGTACGGGGAATACAGGCGTCGGTGAGCCTCTCGGCAATCGCCTGGTACACTCGCCCGCTGTGCTTTTGCCCTTGCAAGGCGTCCAAATGGTCCTCCCATAGCTTTATCAGCGCCCAGGTCTCCTTTTCAGTCCACTGGACGCGCCGTTTTCTCTTCACCGACTGAGCCGACTCCACTGTTACAAGATACTACGTCACCGACACAGCAACTGCCGCTGCCAACACTAACATGATCGCGCTAGTGACGTAATGCGGGTGTTTGAGAGTATGGACAGACTATAGGCCTTCACTTTTTAACAAATCGCACTGCTGCTGAAAATGAAAACATTTTCTCAGCGCAAAAAAATACTGACAGGGCACCGCAGTGTTGCGACACGTTTTCTTCTATTGATAAATTATGGACACTGTATGCGAGAGTACTCCCTTCCTGCCAGAAAAGTAGATGCGGGATCAGCTTTTGCGAAAATGATCTTTGCCGGAAAGGAGTTACTCCTTTGTCGTGTGTCACTGCGCCCGAACGCCTTACTGAAAAATGTCCCCTTGTCTAAAGGACTTCAGGGTGCCCGTGTGTCAGGGGCATAAGCTAACTGTTAGAGAAGCCAAAGAAGGCGTAGAAGATTTTTCATGTGTTGAATAAAACGTAAATATGGAAAATGAGGGTCAATGAAAAATTGTCACCAATGGGAGCTCAGATAACATCTCCGGTATATGACACCAGTGGTTACAATGATGTTTTGCATATGCCACAATGGTGGTAAATTAGGTTGTTTAACACATTTTTGGGTCAAATTCATGTGCATTCGAGATGTTCCCGTTAAAGCTGCCGACAAAAGAATTAGAGGCATGGCTCAATGGGTCCTGCATAGTACACATAATGTCCAGTAGTTAACTCACCTTCCAATAGCAGCAAGTTTTTTTTTGTCTGCTGTCATTTTCTTTTCCTGCAAGATTTCTACATAGTGATGAACATGACAGAGGTTTTCTCGTATTCATTCATGCACATGGTTGTGTACGTGTAGCTAGCAAGTAAACGAAAGTGGATGAAAATACCACTTGCTGGTGGTGGGAATTGTACTCGCATTTCCTGCTATTGTTGGGTCGGAAATATCTCTTGAGCAAGCATTCTCATTGGAGGACTTGGCTCCACCAGGAGTTTTTACAGCGAAATTTGTTATGAAATCAAAACTCGGTTCACGTGCAGTTGTCTGCCGCCGCCGGTGTTCGTAACCGCATCGCGTGAAATTAAAAAAAAAAACAACAAAAACCTAGCACCAAAGACTCAGTGGGGCTCGAAATCCGGGTCAGCTTGGTACCAGTCCAGTATTCTACCACTGAACTACGATGGTGCTTGTGACTTTTTAGCAAACTTGCCTTAGGCAGGCTTGATGTCGGGAAAGCAATCGCGTTAATACGGCTTATAAAGCGCTCTAAAACAGCGAAAGAACAACCAGTCGTCGCACAGTGCAAATAGCGTAATGAGTGGGCTGTCCAGTGCTCCAACCCATTACAAAAGCTGCTTCTTGTTCCCCTATTACCTGTGGCCCATGCTCTACTTCAGCCATAATTTCTTATCGTCGTCAGCCACTGCATGAACTATTGGCACGAAATTCCTTGCAAGTATTTAGCGGATACCACACTTCTGAAAAGAATGATGAAAAATAGCATAGGGAATGCCGGCCTACTAGCTAAAAGTTTATTATTGATGCCCTAGTGGGTATCAAGAAGTGTGCTTGCAGTGGTTACCCAATGAGTGTCTTGAAAAGGCTCTGAAAGTTTGCTCTTCTAGCTTTCGCTGTGACTGTGCTGCACCTTCCGCGCAGGCCTGGCGTTTTTTTCGTGTCTGACAAAGACAAGACCTTTATTAAAATGCTGGCTTACAAAAATAAGATGACATGCCATAATGCTCACTAATGTCACCACCACTGCATGTGCAAATCATGAAGCAGGTGCACCTTTTTGCTTTTGTTGGTCAAGGACGCACGTATGGTAAAGAGCCATGGTACTATGCCAGTCAGCTGTAAGAGCATCCTTTTACAGCTTTGAACATAAGTGTGTTCTGAGTTGACTGAAATGACAGATGTCATTTGCTGTGTACAGTGTTTGGTTGACATGTGCTATAAAGACATAGAAATGAACCTGGAAGTTCCTACTTCATTGGGGGGGGTGTAGGAAGTGCACGTTGCACTAGAGGCTGGTGCTTTTTGTCTAGAGGCATATTGAGGCAAGTAACGAGTTTTAACAAGATAGCATTAAAAAGCTTGTTTTGCAGAAATTCTGGCATTGGTGTCTGGCGTTGTTGGTTGTGAGAGAAAAATCATTAAGTGCAATAAAATAAATGATAAATTGAACCCGGGTCGTTCGTGTGGCAAGCAGATGTTCTACCACACGGCCATGCCTCTGCTTGTGAAAACAGTGAAAAGAACATTCTCTACTTAGAAATGCAGTGATAGTAGCTTTCATGCTTCACAAACAGACGCATTCTGTATAAATTCTTCACAATGCAACATGGAATATTGCAGTAATAATGCGTGGTGCAAGCGTCGATTGCCAACTGGCGTCAGGATATATATATTACCGTGTTATCATAATCCGATTCGTGGTTGATTGTCGTTACCCCACTACAAAAGGCACACACTACTGCACCGATTTCCTCAAGGCCATGTAGTGGGTGCATAGCGAATTTGGAAAGGTTTCATGCACCAAGTGTTTGAAGTATGCACTAGGAACAGAATGTTGCTATCGCGTTCAACTCCTAAAAGTGAAGCTTTAGGGTGCCCTAACTGTCTTCAAGGCATTGCAAAAAATTTCGGTGGCTGTAAGAGTGTATGACTGTTAACGAGTGCTTTCAGTAAACACACGTGATTATGATGTTATATTAACAAATAACAATGATGACACTTGTCGACCTAACTCAGCTCATGCATAATTATGTTTTAACAAGCTGTTCTCCTTTTTTACTTTTCAATTTATTTGTTTGACTTTGCGGCCATGCAGATCAGTATATAGAATTTATGTGATAACAGGTACATGTGGTTGGTGTAGCCATTGAGAAAGTAAGCTGTCTCTTTAATATGTGTCAAAGAACATTAAGCAAAGGGTGACATCTTAATTCATACTTCTGTGGTGATGGATCAGTAACCTGCTTTAAAGCACTGCGCAAAATGAGTCAGAAATGCACCATTGCACCATATTTGTTGGTGCAATGAATGTTTCGACAGTGCACACTTGTTACACATCTCTGTTGTATACTACATTGCATACTGGAGGCCATATGCCCATGTTTCATTTCACTGGCTGTCAAATCTGACCTATGAAGACATTTTTTTGAGTGCGGGTGTGTGTGCATACAATATGATTACCAAATTTTTTAGTTACTTTTTGTTGACCTACCAGTGTATTGTAGTTAGCCTAGTTATGACTGTTTAATATCGGTTCATATGTGACTGCCAAAAAAGACTAACTCCAGCGTTTTCAGACTTTGTTAGAAATAGGCAAGAGTGCTATATATGAAGACATCGACAAATATAGCTTTATTTTTCTGCTGTCATTCTCAAAAAGGCGGGACGCAAGACTTTCTTGGGATACACATTGCACATTGTCACCGGGACTGAGCAAAAATAAATGAAGAGAATGCACCTTGTAATGCCCGCTCCCCTTTATTCATATACTTCTACTTTTTTGTGTTGATACCGCTCAGCAGCACAGATGGATGTAACAGTATGATCAGGTGATTGTGCTACCTGTTACGGTTCGGCTCTTACTCCAGTTTTCTTGAAAACTATGGTACTTACAGTGCATTGATCCTAATCTAGTTTATAAGAAACTATTTTCATTGAGGTGTTTGACTCAAGAAAAATATAAAGAACATCCACAATGGAAGCAAAAACAGAAGTAATAGTGCTTCTAGCTTGGCTTAATTCTCTCGCACTATAATATGCGCCCCTTTAGAACACGATATAAGAGATATACTCATCAGGCAAGGAAGGACATTTGCAAGTCTTGGTTGGCCAGATAAAATAGCAACAGCGCATGGCCATTGGTCTGATGACCTTAGCACCTATCTGTTAGAGGCATGATAAAATTTTAAAATAAAAGCGATTTTATTTCACATTGCTACAGAACTGGTCCTTCAATGGAAATGTAGATACGATAAACAAAACTTGGCATGTCCGACTGGTAGTTAGACATGTGCGAAACAGATGCTTTTCTCTCTCAGCCACTTACCTACTTTTCCACACAGCTAAAAAATTTCAGATTGTCTGCAAAGAACTGGTTGCTGTAATGAGAGATAGTATACATTAAACTTTTTCTGTTTCGATGTTACATTCAACCACTGACAGATATCCGGTACTTTTACCAAACCAATGAGCAAGGGCCATTACTACTTTATCTGGTTACTTTTGCCTTGCAAGCAAGCCCCGAAGAGTTTACACATGAAGATTATATATCTTACGACATAACTTACGGTCATCTATTGTTTCAGTACAGTGTAGTAAAATTAAACTGTATGTACTGGACAAAAAAAAAAAAGATTTTGTGTGAATATTCAATGCACTCTTGTAAAAGATGCTTGTATTCTCAAAAATTACACACTGATCGCGATGCTCCTTCATTGTTCATTAGTGGTTTAAAAGTACTTTTAGAACTGGATTTTTATGGCTAGACAAATGGCACATCTATGCTTGTATTTTACATAGGTGTTGATTATGACAGCAGCTCTTGTTATTTTCTCTTCTACAACTTTTTTTGTATATTTGCAGCTCCTGGACACTCCAACGCCGTTGTATGCGCAGCGGGCCAGTGGTTACTGCTCAAGCTACACCTCCGTGGCTGACACGGGACGGTCCAGTGGCTCTAGCCTGCGTGGCTACAGCATATTCGTGGACCCTGCACTGATGCTCAATGAAAGCCTGTCACGGTTGCGCCACCTCCGCAAGCAGTCAGACCTGCAGATGATACGCTGCATCCAACAGGACTCTTGTACCATGGACTACTTCATACGGCCACCTGTGAACCCTGTGACCCTCTTTTTCAACGACTCACAGATGGAGCGAAACTACCGGCATCGCCTTCACCACCGCGACCTTGCACCAACTATGGCCTCTGCCTCGTTCACTACTTACTTTGACATTTTCGTTGCTCTGGGTTTTTATTTAATTATCATGTTTGCCTGCTTTGTGCTGTTTGATACACCAGTGTCATGGCTATTGTTTTGCCTCTTTGCCACAAGTGTGCACCTCTGCATTTTCATGCTGTGCATCCGTGAAATCCTGGCTACCCGGGGCCACTGGGTAGCCGACTGTTTGGCGCAAATCTACCGCTACTGCACCGAGTGGTACCCTTGGCACGTGGTTGGACTTGTGCTGGTCAGCTTTCCCATTGGTGCCATATTTTCAAATTTCACTTGTGCTGGTGTGCTTTCAACCCCAGAGCGCACCAATGCGTTCTGCTACGTTGTCTTTGTCTCTCTTCTGCACTTCTGCAACTTCACCCAGCTCAACTTCTGGCTGCGCTCCCTGCTGGCCACATGCGCAGGTGTAGTTTTAGCTCTCCTCATAGGCCTGCCAGCTTGCCCGTGCCCGTTGCGCGGTCCCGCACGTAATGTCTCACACCTTGAGATCATTTCTGATCTGGGCGTAGAGCTGCCAGGTGTCACTTTCCATCGTGACTCGTACAGCTGCAACCAGTCGGCCATTTACGAGATAGTGCTGCACGTTGTGCTCAATACAATTCTAGTCTGGCTGCTGAACCGCGAGTTTGAAATAAGTTACCGGTTGAGCTTTCACGGCAGTGCCATGGCAGCCCGTGATGAGCAGCGCATCCAGTCGATGAAGAACCAAGCTGACTGGCTCTTGCACAACATAATTCCTCGCCACGTTGCCGAGCAACTGAAGAACACTTCCAAGTACTCTGAGAACCATCGTGATGCTGGGATAATTTTCGCCAGTATTGTCAACTTTCATGAGATGTATGATGAGTCATACGAAGGAGGCAAGGAATATCTACGTGTCCTCAATGAGCTTGTTGGTGACTTTGATGAGCTGCTTTCAAAGCCACTTTTTCGCAATGTGACAAAAATCAAGACAATCGGGAGCACATTTATGGCAGCTTCTGGACTGAACCCCAAGCTGCGCCGTGAAAATCCGCATCCTTTCACGCATCTTTTTGAACTCATGGACTTTGCAATCGCCATGCAACAAGTGATCGAGAATTTCAACCAGAACCTTCTTGAGTTTAACTTCGTGATCCGCATTCGGCTACTGCTACGGGGATGTCACAGCGGGTGTCATTGGCACGACCAAGCTCTACTATGACATCTGGGGAGACGCTGTCAACACTGCCAGTCGGATGGATTCTCACGGAGTTCCTGGGCGTATACAGATTCCTGAGCACTGCCTTCAGGTACTGCAGGAGCTGTACGTATTCGAGTCACGGGGTTCAATATACATAAAGGGGAAGAACAACATGAATGTGTACCTTCTTGTGAGGAAGAAAGACAAGGTCTTGTATAGGATTCTTCCGTCGACGCAGCGGCCGAGCCTTACTACAACATCCACTGCAGATGAAAAAGAGAAAGTCTCTCCTGCGCCTTGATGAACAAGCAAAAGGGGACGAAGTTAAAAAGGGAGCAAAGAGTGAAGAGGAATTGCCAGTGTAATGGTGTGCCTGGCTTAATGTAAGCCTTTACCCAAATCAGTTATCTTGTCAAGCTAAGTGGATACCGGTGATTGACATTTTGGTAATATGCAAGCTGCCATACTGTGGTCAACAATAGGCATATAGTGGGGACACTGAAAGACTTGATCAAAATGCCAAGTTTTATGGAATGGCAGTGCTTTGAATGCATGTGTGTGTGTGTGCATGCGTGCTTTTATTGTGTTACTTGTCGTAGTATACTACATGAATGTGTGAACAATTGTGTGAATATATGTTTCAAACTTACTAAGAACTTCAGCTAACAGACAAAGAATTAATGGTGTGCTGAATCTCACTAAGGATAGTAATGTTTGATGTTTTACTAGATACTGTAATTCTTTGATTTCCACCTTGCGAAGGTCAACTGGCAAAGCTAAGGTGATGATGTGTTCATGAGACTGCATTCAGCTGAGGTAAAAAAAAACCAAAACAAATGAACAAAATTTAGTGTGGGAATCTAGAAGTGCTTTGGACAGCAATGTTTTTATGCAGAAGTCCTTTTTATGTATGTGTGTGTGTTACTGTAAGATTTTATACTATGTTGTTCTGTGCAGCTATATGGGAGATTCATTGAGATACATCTTTAGGTAAATGTGATCTATTTTTTGTTGGTTGTCAGTAATGTTTACTGTTTATACTCTTGTTTTAATACTGTGTCATTTACATTCATCGGTTTCCAGGCCTTGCTGCATGGCCCATAACTTATCACTTTATCCTCATTATCCTGGAAACCACTTATTTCTTCCTCTCAGTTGTTGGCTGTTGTAGTAGGTGCGAAAAGTTGTGCATTTAAAAAAAAAAATGTCTTCTTGTTCATATAGTGTGTCATATCAAAACAACCTTTAACTAAGAGGTTACCGATACAAAACATGAGATGGAACTTGCGTACCAACTTGGACAAATTGCAGTCATGAGTAGCTTATGTGCACAGTTTTGACAGTAGGCTTTAGTTGTTTATTGGTATCTATATCACGTGGGTCAGGTACTGTTCCTTCTATTTTACAGCAAAAGCTGTTACGAGATCACAACAAGGGTTGCATGCATCGTAGTTGTTTGCCGCCGGGCTGGCATCCATAACCACTGTCGTGCAAAATAAGAAAAGAAAGAAGAACTGCGTATAAGTAAACAGAAAATATCAAAAACATAATGGGATTCGAACCTTGGTCCCCTGCATGCCAGCCCTGTATTCTACCATCGAACTACGTTTTTTTTTATTGGCCGAGCTACATCGGTACTTGGATCTCCATTGCAAACTGACCCTAAGCAGGCTTTATGTTGGGAAAAAAAATGCATTAATGTGTGTATATGCGGCTCTAGAAACCCCAAAGGAGAGTTATGAGTAGAGTTCGTTTAACTTACGGTCAGCGGGCTGACCGTAAGTGAACATGGCGAAGTCCTTTTGGTGAAACTAAAAATAAATTAGAATCCCAATAAAAAAGGTTTTAAGGCAGGGAGGCATAATTTATCCTCTGCTATTTACTACGTGTTTACAGGCAGCTTTTAGGGCTCTAGATTGGGAAGAGTTAATGAAGAGTATCTCAGTAACTTGCAATTCGCTGATGGCATTGCCTTGATGAGTAACTCAGGGGACAAATTACAGCTCATTATTACTGAATTGGACACGGAAAGAAGAAAGTAGGTCTGAAAAGTAATATGCACGAAAACTAAAGTAATCTACAACAGTCTCGACAGAAAACAGCACTTTGTGATAGGTGGAGAGGCGCTGGAAGTTGTAAAGGAATATGTATTCTTAGAACAGGTAGTAACCGTGGAGTCGAGCCTTGAGAGTGAAATAACAAGAAAAATAAGGATGGGATGGATCACATTCATCAGATATTCTAAAACCATGAATGGTAATCTGCCACTAACTCTCAAGAGGAAGGTATACAACAGCTGCATCTTGCCAGTACCTACCTATGAAGCAGAAACATGGAGGCTTACAAAAAGTGTTCAGCTTAAATTGAGAATGACACAGTGAGGGATGGAAAGGAAAATGATAGGTGTAACCTTAAGAGGCAAGAAGGAAGCAGAGAGGGTCAGGGAACAAACCGGGGTTAAGGATATCATAGATTAAATCAAGAAGAGGTGCACATGGGCCGGGCTAGTAGCACGTAGGCAAAATAACCGCTGGTCATTAAAATTACTGACTGGATTCGCAGAGAAGGCAAACGCATGAAGGGGAGACAGGAAGTTAGGTGGGACGATGAGATTAAAAAGTTTGCAGGTGTAATGTGACAACGAAAAGCACAAGACCGAGTTGATTGGCAGATCATGGGAGAGGCCTTGGGCCTGCAGTAGGTGTAGTCAGGCTGATGATGATGATTTTGTGTAATAAAGTGTTTTAGAAAATTGAAGGAACAACCAGGCATCACACAATGCAAATTGCGTAACGAGAGGGTCGTCAAATGGTTCGACACATTGCAATAACGCTAGGCATGGTTTTTCATTGTCGTCAGCCATAGCATAAAAATATAGTGCAAAATTCTTGACAACTGTGTAGCGGGTACCAAATTTCTCTGAAGAATGACGAAGGATGGCATAATGAATGCCTCCCTACTACACAAAAACTATGATGACCTATAGTGTAGTGGGTACCCTGCAGGTGTGCTTGTAGCAGTTACCCAAAGAGTGTTCAAAAAAGGCTCTGAAAGGCCTCTCTTTCAGCTTTCGCTGCGACTGTGCTGCACGCTCCATGCAGACCTAGGGATTTTTTTTTTCTTTTTGCTGGTCTTGCAGTTGCTTGGCTCTTATAATGTTCAGTGCCTTTTTTTTTTAAGTGCTGCAAATTCAGTTTCTAAGCAACACATTTCCAGGCATTAAATTCAAAATATATGATTAAGCATGTGTGGTGTAACACTTGGCAATTTGTGCATATACAAAGATTTAAACAGAATAGGATTGCAGCTCATGATCTAGTTACCAGTGTTGTACTTTAAGCACCATGGTGTCTTTGTCGCTGAACTTTGAAGATACTGTACAAACAACATCAACAACATCAGTTTATTAGCAAATCCTTGGGTTTCTACATCATTTAATGTTTTCTTATTTCTGAAGTGACTGAGAAAAATCATGGGCCATTCGCACAGACCTGCCACGCCAAAAAAAACGCACAAGTGTCGCTGATATCCAGTAACCAGTTTATGAATGTTCTACATTCACGAATCATCTCTGGTGTGGCCAGGGGTATGCATCGCTTGCCATGCAAGTGTACTTGAGCATGGCACTGAAAGATTTGCATAACGCATTCTCTTCAGAATGTCTTTCGCCATTTTCATTCTATCATCTACAATTTGTTATCACCAACACATTTTGGGTTTTGTGTTGGTGAGTGAGAAAGAGCATATTCAATGCCATGGAATGCATTTTAATGAAACGGGGCTTCAAGGGACCAGGAAACGTGTTTGATGTATCCCGTCGTTTTGTTATGTCAAGACCGCACTATTTGCAGAGTGGTTGTTCTGGCTATCTGGGTTTGGGGAATATGCACTATAGTTACGTGTATGTTGTAGCAAGAAGGAAACACTTCTAAATTTTTTATGCCATTGTCTTTTTATGCCCTTTTACACAGAATTCAGTATAGGGAGATTTCAAAGAGTGGATGCGTTGCAAATTAGATTGCATTTTCACTTTTCGCAATACTGTTTTAGCTCTTGCTTGACTGAATTGCAATGCAGGATCTCTCAAAAGCATCATGTAGCTGTAGGGGCCCTTAACCACCTTTATTGGAAGTCTCAAGTATGCATGCTCTGAAACAAGTAATATGCCTCTCAGAAATGTATTACAGAAATGATATTGAAAGATGTTCTGGTATGGAAGGAGATTCTACGAGCACAGTGCTTGCCTTTTTTATTCATCCTTGTTCAGAAGTCAGGCGGCGTTGATGGCAACATGTTAATGGCATTCCGTTTCATTCCTATGAGCTGGTACAGCCTAGATAGAGCATATGACAAGTGGTTTCCTTAGGTAGTGTGCATTTGTCATCAAAAATTTCATATGTGGACTTTTGATAACTACAGCCTGTTTAGCTGACTGCATTCATGAATACACGTACACATAGTAAAAGTAGGAGGAGTGTATTAATCTAAACATCCTGCCTGCTTGATGTTGAATATTGGCCAATGGCAGCTGTTGAGGGAAACCTGCTCAACATTATAAGGGGATAGCCACTGGTGTCAGCTTCACTATTGGAAGAAGTGTATGTTAAAAAAGTGAGCGCCTAAAATGTGCTAACATAGCACTCTGCTTGTGAACTCCACACTCCACTGTTAACTATAAAGTTTGGTGGTGGTGTTTATAGCTCTGGCTTCTATCCACGGAATATGCTTTATCATCTTACCTGAGGGGTGGTTCAGGGTCCCTTTAATGTTAACGAATGAATAGTGTGGTTTTCGATTTCTATAGCTATGGCACTTCATGTGGTTGATATCATTCTGATGCCTTGACACACATGCACGGAACATAAGACATGCTTGGAAGGAGTTGACATGGCAAGCGTAGGATATGAAATGTGCAAACACCACAGTTCCCGAGGTCGAGGAAAGCGTTGAATGTTGCAGTGCTTAAAAATGAGACTGGTAGGAATGACTGCACGAAATGTGAACACTAGCTACTACCTTGTTTAGAATTTTAACAGAAGGGTGGAATTTGACAGAATATTTTGTTAGATACCACGTTTGCAAGCAATACTGCCTGTTTCATTCAGAGTGGTTGTGGAGGGAGTATTGCTGCTGATGCTGGACAACTATATTTACAAATTTGGAGGAATGGTGATGCCATCTGTCACTAGATGGGTAAAAGCCTTATGCAGAGATTGTTGTGCCGCACTAATACGCAGATGAGGTGAATGAATGATATTGGACCTTCTTACAGAAGTGGGTCATCATTTGCTCCACATACGGCGCTGCCTATTCCTACCCCTGAAAAAACATGTAATCTTAATGACTAGAGCAGGTAATGTGTAGAATAAAGCCAAATATTTGCTGTGGAAGTTTATTACACAAAACACGCTTCTATCAGAAAACAACTATCTGGAAGCCAAGAAACATGTTTGCAGAGGTTTTGGCTTGTGAAACCAATGCCTGTTGTACTTACTACAGGAAATTCCTAAACGAGGTTTGCTTCTCTAGTGCTGTTCCAGTGATTGCACTAATTATCAGTAACCATCAGGTAATCTAAATGTTCACTGCATGTATTCTATCGGCCATGGTGGTCCTGTGGTTATGATGCTCGACTGCTGACCCGAAGGTCACAAGATTGAATCTCGGTGGTCACGGGGGCTGCAATTTGATGAAAGGGATAGGCTAGAGGGTTGTGTTCTTAGACTTAGGTGCATGTTAAAGCACATCATGTGGTCAAAATTTTCGGAGTACGATGGCCTCTCTCATCGGATAATGGTTTTCAGACACAAAACCTCAAGCGTTACTATTATGCAGGTCTTCTAGTGTTCTACAGTGATTATGCTACCACAGTTTTTAATATTGGCGTGCAACTGTACACATGTCATTCTGATGTGAATGAAGAAACAAAGTGGTGCCAGTTCTAATCATAATACATAATGCTACCGATATCAAGAACTAGAATATAAAAAATAAAGGGAAGGTAAAATCTGAATTTGCTTGAAAGCTAACAAAGTATAGAAATGAAGACGCTAAATATACGCCAACAAGTATGCTGTTGTTTGGTAGCACTTAGTCAGCGCCTCCTTTATTTTTCCTACAATGCGAGTGCAAATGCGCGCTCTTCAACGGGAGCCGTCGGTCTACCTTAGTTCACGGAGTGGTAGTGATGCGACGCCACATGGTGGGCAGGGCTGCTTGCGTCACACATGTGTCCGAGCGTATTCCAACAGAGATGCACGAGATGCGTTTTCCTCTCCAATATCTTATATCTGTCAGATTTGTTAGTTCGCGCTCTTTTTTTTTTTTGTGGCTCGAAGCAGTGCTGCCGCCACCTTACAGCGCTAATGATGCAATAGCGTTACAGCGACATGTCCCCATTGATTGCCCGCACAGTGCCACGAACAGTGACATGCTATCTCAAAACACTGTATCTCTCAAAGCCAGCATGACTGCAAACATTGTGAACATGAAAAATGCAAGACAGTGCCCTACAGATCTGTCCACAACTGAACAAAAAATTACTTTATAATATTTCTGTAGTGAGGCATCATGTGACGGGTTCTCTTCTCCATGACCGCAATGCACACGCGAAGGCTGGGAGATGGGTGAGAGCAGAAAAGGGCTAGAGGTAAGGGTGGTGGATGGCTGGATCAGGCACATCTAGCTGGCACTGATAAAATAGAGGTGCTGACTCGGCATTGATGCTTTTTTCGGTATAAATAAATACCGTGAAGTTTGACGTTTTCGTATATAAAAAAACTTTTTGCCAACTTCTGCTTGCGTATGCTAGCTAGGCTTTTCACAAAAGCTTCATTTTGTGTCTTCGCCAACCTGCATAACAGTTTTCTTTGTTTATTCTAGCCAAGCTGACAGGACAATTGGGCTATCGTCGCTCCATAGCTCTCTTGCAAGACTTGTTGGTCAACAAAGTATAGTTGAAACTTAGCAGCAGCACTACGATGGGTTGTAGATAACCGAATGACTTCTGAGTAATTCTGGATGAAATTAGCAAGCACTGCATCCGAAGGTTTGTTCGTACAAAATCCACTGCCAAATGCTGCCTTTCTGTGAAGTTGCACTGCAAACGAGGGTGAATCGCGCAGTAAAACATTATACTTAAATTCCTGAACTGTGCAGCATTCAATATGTGCATTGTGAAATTGATATTTCTTCAGACTGTGAAGTAAGCCTGGACTCTTGCTGCTTTTCTGCAAGTGCTGATAAACATTTGTTACATACTATAGTTTATTGGCTTTGAATACAGAAGTATGGGATCTATGGGAAGAAAACGCCTCATGACATAATGTTGTACACATAGCTAAATTATGCATTGTATTGCGAGGTTAGCAATTGCTTTCATGTGTATCCGAAGTAAAAAAAAGCGATGCAGTTATGTTTTTGCCCCTTAATGAATGTGTCATCCAACATCTGTTTGTCAAGTTTAGTTTCTCATTCTTTGTCACAGAACCTCATAGGTTTGGGTGCAAGCTTGATGGTACATTGCTTCCAAGCCTATTGTGTATACTTCTTGGCGCTAACATCCAAGCAAAGTATCGATACGATAGTGCAAAAAATCAGCGCCGCTTGATCTGCCTTTTGTGGTTCTGGATTCTATCAGATAATATGAATGTTTTTGTGGTCTCGCCAACTTGACAACCAAGAAGTGCCACAGGATAGAAGAATGTAACAGCACATTTGGTTTTGGACCAAGTGTTACCAGATTTATGAAGTGTTAGTGCTGGCTTTTCCTTCATGGCATTGCACTAATATGGTAGTGCCAAATCATGTGCACACTAAGGGATGTTCTTTTTTTGTTTCAGGAGACTAGTGCAAACACAATTTTCTGCTTATTTGTGCTGAAAGAGAGCACCTGGCCTAGTGACAAACTGTGCAGTGTGATTTTTTTTATTATTTGTCTTAACTGTGATTCTTCTTGTATTACATAATTGTTTTAAATCAATGTTGACACAACTCAGAAGTTAGACAATTGTGCAAACAGAAAGCTGCATCATGAAAACTTAAACCATTAAGCATGTGTGCTTGCACCTAAAGGTCATGTTTAGCTAAGGCACAAATATGCATGTTACAGGAACCACTGTTTTTCAGCTGCTGCTGTACAAGTTTGCAGCTAAGGCCAAAACACACGCCATGCCACCTTCCTGAATTTACATAACTTTTTACCGGTACTAGATGCCTAGGCTTTGTACTTTTCTAAAAAACAAGAAAGTTGTTGTTGTGCCTAGGGTAGTGAAAACACAGTTCAATCCAAAGTGTTTGCACCTCGCGCTTGAGAAGAGTGACTGTCTTCTCAAACAAAGCATCTAGTCATGTGTTTTTGACTTTCACATAGCACTGGACGAGCAGTCTGTTGTTGATGACAATATCATCTACAAGCAGACACTGTGTAGTGTGAATGCACCTGGTTCGAAAGGCATTTGTGACATGTTTTAGGCCCTCGGAGGAACTTTTTGCACCTTTTCTACACATGTATTCTGCCTCATGCTCTGGGGTTGCGTTCCAACAGTCCGGATGCACAGCTATACCTCATGGCTGGAACACGCTGGTTTTCAGAACAAATGGGCATCCTTTTGGCAATCAGGAAGCAACCCTAAAACCAAGTGTCTCGATCCTTTGCTCTGCCTTGCTAATGTTCACACAAAAACTCATTCACAAGTGTCTGTAGCTCTGCATACGCTTTTTATACTAATTCCTTCAAAGAAAGCTCCTCTTCTAGTGTGTTGCCTACTTGAATTTTGTACGCTCTGTGCAGGATGTCGTAGCGGCTATGGTATACCCAGTAAATGCGCTTCCGTGCGAGAGAAAGGGGCGCCTTTGGGATCTCTCTGTGATCCGCCCAATGCCACATGGCCACCATATGTGGGGAATGTTCAGTATTCTTAAGGTGCCACTGATATCTGTTGCCTGCAAGAAACTTCAATGGAACGAGCTCTTCTATGTCACCTTGCACACACCAAAGCACAGTATTACTGTGGCAATAGTGCATGATGCCATGATGTTACTACTTATATCTGTGCTTCTATTAAACTATAAACTGAGAAATAAAGCCAGAAAAGAAGAAAATTTGGTTGGACTTTTCTAGTCATGTGATTTTCTGGAATGTTCATGTGAATGTGGCTGGCCATTACATCTGTGGTAAACTGTGTGCTTTCTGTCCATTTGTGTCCTACTGCTGACCACCACCAACTTAATACTACTTTTTGCATATCATATTCACACTTGGGATCATCTTCACACTGTATTTGTTAAACATGATCTTTGCACTATACCTGAGATGTTATAAGGGGGTAGAAGTGGTTTGTTATTTCTGAATGAGATTGATTACTAGGTTGTTGGATCAGATTTTTTACTTGCATGTTCTATCTGGAGATCAAAAGGTTTCTTTTAAAAAGCTTTGTTGCTATGTTAATGTAAAAAAATGCGTTGATATTACTGTAAGGTTTTAGGTTTGAGAATTTAACATTTACTGGTCACTGCATTCTAAAACAAAGCTTTTGTCTTAATATTTAGGTGTATATATTGACTATTGTGAAGAAAAAAATTACATGCTTGTTTTCTATTTACAGTATGTATTTGCTGTCTGTACAAGGGATTCCCAAATAAATTATTTATTCAATTTGTACATGAAGTGTCGTGAATCATTTCCTGCTGCTTCTGAAAATCAAGGTGAGAATTTTTTTTTTTGGGGGGGTGGGGGAGTAAATCGTAAGCAATGTTTAGCCGAAGTTATGGCTATTAAAAATAATAGTAATCTAGTCCCAAAATTGGTCGTTATAATAGCAGGCCAGGGGAACATAAGTGCAATCGCGAAGCCAGCTTCAGTGACCGATTTCGCGACTCGTTTATGGTAGACAGTTAAGTAACACCTTGTGATTATGCTGAAGCACCGCTCAAATCAGTCGCACAGTTAGTGCACCGCTACAGCTCGGTGTCGCAAAGGCGCTTTCGGTATCTCGATGGCACTTGGCTATCTTCCGCAGGCAGCGCAAATTTGAAAGCGCACTGTGTGACGCCGAAAGAATTAAACTTGCAGCCGACCGAGTGCGGCAGGTCGGTCGCTTTGATTTCACACAGCCAGAAACAACATTCTAGTTGCAGCGGCTCTATAGTAACTTTGTCTTGAGCAGCAATAAAGGAGCTCGCGAACAGGCGGGCTGATGCTCGAACTAACCACGGCTGCCCTGGCGATCAGCTGATGCGCGAGTTATCACCTGAGGAAGCCCCGAATGGTGTACTAGGTTAATGCAGGCGCACAGAATCGATTCGCTTAATATTAACAACTAATGAACTAGCACACAGTCGACACAGATTTCTTTAGAGAGCTCGTTATTCAATCAAGCGGAGAAGCGCAAGAAATCGCGCTGAGGGACCATTCTATCAAACAACCCGAAAGAAGCAAAATAAAGGCATTAACAGCTTATTGCAGGTAACGTGGCTGGAATAAAGAGGTAAGCAACCAAATTGCAGAATTCAAGGCATTTAATACGCATTTGCATATTTTCCAGTTTCGGAAAGAACAAGAAACAAAGTCGCAGCAAGCGAATCAAAATGCGAACAGCCGATTTGCCGCACGCAGAGCACTATGGGAGACCAGCCATTTGCGTCCCAGAATGCATCGCTCAACGCCTGTGTTCGGACGGTCTTCGGAAGCTACTCGGCAATCTCCGGAGCGTGTTCGGGATTTCATTACTGCGAGCAGGTAAAAGTGAGCCAATGGCGCTGTAGAGTTTGTGTCACGTGAAAAAATGTGACCAATCACGAGCTTTTATTTCCTTGGTAATGTTTGCTCGGCAATCTTCGTTGTTTTCTCTGACAAGCGTAGAAAAACTTTTCATCAACAGCCGCCATATTGGATGAATAGGAGCCCAAATTTTCAGGAACTGTGTTCTGAATTTTGGCTTCTTTTTTCGTCTAGGCTGTCGTTTTTGGGACGACTGGTCACCTCCGTTCTTCATGGAGTAACTCCGGTAAGGGATTGGGAAGCCATCCTCGTGTGATTGCGGCTCCGGACGGCTCGATGCTCGGGACTGCTTGCCTGGGCAGTCGCGGAGCGTTGAAGTTTTGATGGGGTAGTGCGATGCCGTAGAACGCGATCATGAAGAGACTGTCCCTGTGCCTTGACCATGAAGAAGAAAATCGGACTGTGCTACCATATATTTGTGCGTGTGTTGGACCATCAGATCTTCTAAAAGTGTATTGGTATGTCGAAGGTTTAAATTCTTGATAATCTTCCCCATTCTTGAGCGCATAGGGCATCAGTGGTTTAGGCTTATCAATATGGCTGACCATCTTGTGGATGGGCCGCCGAATAAGCGGCAGAAGTTGGCAGATACTGGCCTGTCGTCGGACAGTGCAGGTGAGTGCACCGTTCCGTTTCTTTTTTATGCCTTAACTGTCTCGGTGATAATTTCTGTGGTTGGAGCTGTGTCTAACGCCGGGATGTTGTATAGATGCGCTTGCTCGCCTGTCGCTCGGCAGACCCATGTTTTGGATCGCGCCTCCCAGTTTTCTGGTTCCGCTAGTGCTTGTCGACAGTATAACGGCACTGTACCGTGTTTGTCGTTGCTCATGTTCGGTGTCGCCGCTGTGATGCTTTCAACTTGTCGCGCGATTCTGAACGTCGTGCGCCAGTAATGCTGTCCGTAGCTTTACTTCCCCGTGCGCACGACAAGTCGTGTTCGTTTTCGGAATGCTTGCGATTTCGTCCGAACCACGATTAGCTATTATTTCGCACACCCGTGTTTGAAGCCGAAACTGTGACCCGGGCGAGTGGTTATCACTTTAGCGGAGGATCTATAGAAATGTACAAGTTTGCCGATGCCGCTTCAGGTTGACCGCCCGCTAACCCTAATTGCGTTTAGAAAGTGCTTTGAAACGTATCGTTTATGCGCGAAAATACCTCGTTTCTGGCGCTATGTATTAATGATGAGCCCGTGAGTGTAGATTGCCTTCGTGCCATGGCCGAAAGAGAGGCATCAACAGTGCTTACAATTCGCCGAGGCGCATTCACCCGCGCCCTGCGCTCACGGCGGGGAATGTTGCTTGGATCGGTTCGCCGACGGCGCCGCACACTTGTTCGCACTCGGGACGTTTCCGTGCCGCGTAGCGTGCATGTTCAGGCGATTTGCAAATAACGGTTTATTTGCCGCATTTCTCACGTGCCGCCTCGCCCTGGGCGCAGTTTCGGGCGGCCCGATGCCCGCGTCAGATGCCTTGGCGTCTTCTCTTCCTGCTGCCGCCACACCGAACTCGACCTCTTTGGGCGGGATCGCGGCGTGGTGCCACGGGAGATGCGAGTAGTGCATTGCCACTGGGACATTTGTTGCATCGTTTTCGTCGTTCTCGCACTTGAGTTGGTTAGTGTTTCCCCAAGTTGGGTAGGTTTATTGATAAACATCCGCGGGAATGGTCCGCCGGAATGCGCCGCGAAAAGACCGCCGATGTCTCGGTCTGACACAGATTCAGGTTGCCGGCCATTTCGTACCTGTCATGATTGGGTCTGCCGAAGCGTTAGATTGAGTTGAAACTGTTCGGCTGCTGCTCGCTGGGTTTCCTTTCGTGGGAGCCAATGGCAGCTAGCGCCGCTTGTTGCTTACTAGGCAGTGTTCGTGAAACTCCCGGCTGTTTTAAGTCTGATCGGGATGAATTGTTTTGCAGCTCCGTGCCAATCTTTTGCGGTGTTTTGGTCGCTGTATCGCGACACCGTCACCTTTGTAGCAGTTCAGTAGCTGACGCTTGAAGTGTTATAGCCGAAAACCGTGCCACGAAAACTGCTTCATAATTTGTGTGATGACAGAAAATTTTGGTATGTATTAGAGGTTGCAGTTCAGCGTGGCTCGATTGGCTGTTGTTAATGCGGTGAAAACTACCTGTTGCAGTCACCGGGTATACATACACGACACACGGTGCATTAAAAATACAGCCTTTCCATCCTGAATTCACCATGGCAGTGTACACCTAATCTGTTTACTACATCAGAAACACATTGTGTATTCCCAAGCCCTCCTGTTCTATAAAGGCACGGAAGTACACGAAGGAGGAACTGATGTAGTGCTTCTTTGTGTTTGAATTCAAGCTGGCACTTTTCTTCTGTCAGTGCCCATTCACAGTTGCTGTTGTGTGTAGTGTAATTTCTGCGATTCGCACTAAAGCATGATACACAATTTGCAATGTATGTAGTTGTTCGTGTTTCTCTATGGTGATTAATGCATCCAGTATTGTGGCAGATCTCTTAGAACCATTGCTGAAACATGCATGCACACTGCAGTCCTAAATCAAGTAGGAAAGGTCAACAGTCACAAACTGCCGTCATGTACATTAACACTAGCTTTTCATGTCTCTAATGGCCAAGTACAAGGGCACTCAGGAATTGATATGGGGTGTTCAATGAACATGTGCATTATGCTTTTTGTATGAATTTCGCTTATTTAATTAATGGCTACGTCAAGGCTACAGCTTTTGCAATTGTTTTGTTGAGCTAGATACAAGCACTCCACTACCATTTGCCAGTGTTTCAGCTACTCTGACTTGGTCATAAGCATTTCGGGGCATATCTTTAGAGTACTGTTACTACTGCCTTGCAAATGATTTAGTATTGTAACTGAGACTGAAACACGTTTCACATGTCCAAGTAGATTCTGGATCACAAGACAGCCTCTGTAGTTGTACTGGAGATAGAAGTGTAGGAAAATGTCAGAATTGTTACTGCGTGCATTAGACCAGTTGCACATTCTGATCATAGGCACGAAACCAACTGAAAATAATCTTGCGGCTGATGTCTGCATGTGTGTATGAGTGCAGCCAGCACTTATGAACAGCCACAACAACAATGATGTTTATCTCGTTCCTTCGTTTTGATTATTTGTAATTTGTGCAACTATATGTGGAGTACACAGAAAGTTAATAAGAAAGGCCACAGGTTTTATTCTGATTTGCATCATTGTTTATCAAAACCATCATTAGGGATACCTCATCATGGTGATAGGAACATTTGTAAGAATGCATATTACAAAAACACATTTGTTTTACTGGCATAAAAAAGTGAACATTGCTTGTGCTATGCTTGTGTAGCTTCTACATGAACAGAAGGGTCAGATCTGCAGGCATCGATGGCTACACAATTAATGTTGTAATAATGAAATGTTTTCATTTAGTGCACTCCATGTAGTGGATGAATTGCAACGTGCAGTTTCGCATTGCTCAAAGCCTCAACACCACTTATGTAGTGCAACCGTTTGTAGTTAGATGTGGATGAGTGCCTTATTGCAACCTTTTGTCGTTTTTGCTTGTGGTGGCAGATTTCAGCCGGCTGTGGGACCTGGAGAATGAGCTGCCGGAAGAGCTCATGGGTTCAGGAGGAGGCCCACCACTGGGTGACTTAAGTGGTGGCCCCACCCAATCGACGGGTGCTGCCCAGCAAAATGGCACAGGCGGTGAGGAGGCAACTGGTCCTCGGCATCAACAATTGTCGCAGCTGCTCCAAAGCAACACCAACCACGGCAGTCCAAAAGAGCTGGGTGGTGGCCCTAAGAGGATCGGGGGGCCTATGCTCAATGGACCTATGGGGCCCATGGGACAGGCGAGGCCGCCCACGTCTCTAGGAGGCCTGCTCGGACCAAACTCCCCGCATGGAGGTCCGTCTGGAATGGTCGCAGCCCCACCTGGCATGAAGGTGGGTGCCTTGTTCTGATCTAGGTAGCTAACAAAGGTTTTCACGGCGATGTCACAGCTTCAGTTTACAGCTACTGTGCTCTGACAAAGCAGCAAACAAAGACAGCCTTGCATGCGAGCGGGGTTACCGGTGAACCTTAAAAACATTGAAGACCGAAGGTTACTGGGGCTTTTAACCCTCGAGGTGTTGGTAATATGATCTAGGGATCCTTCACTTCGTTTGTTACCACTTGCTTTTAGAAGCTACTCCTGGTGTAGGCAGAGTGCCCCTTCAACCATTGAAAAATTGTGTAAGCAAAAGAGTTATGCTAGTATAGCTAATTATTTTGACACAGCTGTTGCTTGTTGACAAGGTTATTCAATTTCATATATTTCTTACACAGTTGAATGCAGCTGTATAAAATTATTCACTATACAAACAGCTCTAGCAACTTGCTGGAAATCCTGCGCTTGAGTACAGCCCTGTAGGTATTGAACTTTCGTTCACCTTGTCATCTGATATATCAAATGCTGTGCTGTGCTCTGGCCCTGCAAGTCAACTTCACATTAGTGCATACGTGGCCACTTCTTGCATTGCTCCAAATATTTATGCCAATGAAATGACACTGCTTTGACAGATGTCAAGCAGGATATTGAACGTGAAAACCATGAATGAAATATAAGTGAGGTGTGTCTTTGCCGCAGCACACTCGTGTAGTGCAGTGAATACCATAAGCGGGGAGATCCAACTACCGCTGTGTGGTGAAGCATTCTACCTTTGCCTGTTTGTTATCTTGGGAAAAAGAAAAAAAAAAAAAAAACTTCTTGCTGTGCCAGAAACCATCTTAGTTGCATGCATATATTCTATTAGACGTTGTGGAAGAAAAATATACACCGAAGTGTAATTTAAGCCTCTTAGGCCACTTTGGAAAGAAAAAAATGCTAATTAACAATTTCATGGTACTCTTTCACATGCGGGGTATGAGGTAAGCTCTGTAAAATGGTATTGCATTTAGAATTATTGATATATTGAATTTTTTAATCTCGTTTGACTTGGTGTATTTGTGCTTGACTGTACATGCGTGTGGCTGACCTTGTTGCATTTTTCAGATGAAGGTCGTATGTTGACTAAATTCAGAAACTTAAAAAAAAAGTCTTGTGGAGTATGTCAAGCTTGTGTTACCATGAATTGCAGGGGCCAGGTGGAGCCATGGGCCAAGCATCCTTCCACGGAGGTTATGGCCAAGTGATGTCAATGGGCCAGTTGAGTCAATCTCAGCAGAGGCCCATGGGAGCCAACCTAGGAGCGGCGTTAGGCATGCCCCCGCGCTACTCAAGTGTAGATTCTTCGCAACTGCAAAACGTGAGCTGCTTGTTATTTGGGTGTTCTTAAATTTCAAGCCATGTGAATATGTTGTGCTTCAGCTTGAATACTTAATGCGTGTGTCCTGTTATTCAAGAGTACAAATTCTTATTTTTGCACCGAGCTGAGCCAAAACCATAGAATATGCTAAAATTGTGCTACGTAGCGGCAATATGAAATCGTTGATTGTTTAAGGGGGGAGGCGCAGATCAAATCGCGAAATTCTTGAAAAAAAAAAAAAAAAGAATTTCGGATAAGGGCAGATTTGGATTCTGCATGACCATTTCTATCATGTCTAAAACTGTTTCCGCCAAAAACGATCTCAAAACAAGCTTGAAAAATGTTTTTCTCACCGCGGGTCGTGAAAAGCTGGCTGAAATCAGCACGAAAATGGTCCTCTTTCGAGCGCGATAACGCCGCGCCTTCGCCGCCGCTCACGGAAAGTTTGATGTCATTGGAAAGCTTGCTTCACCGCCGTACTTCTCCCGGTGGAACCACGTGTCTACGTGCGAAGATAAACACACAAACAGAAAAAAATGCGAAGGCATCCGCGATGCCTTAGATGCGCATCGATTAGTCGCTTCTGTCACGTGGTACTGAGCGTGCTCTGTGAGTGGTTGCTAGGACACGCTCGCTTGTGCTGGTCGTCTGCTTCGGGCACGCTGGCTGTGCACACACTGGCGCACGATAGCTTTTGAATCTGCTACTGTTGTACGGCCGCCGATAATCTTCAGTAAAGCGAGACGTAGCGCACGCAATGGATCGTCACCCGAGCCCTAAGCGCAGGACAAAGTACGCGTATGGGAAGTGTAAACGCAATTCCCTGTTCGGAAAACGAAGCGGTCAACAGCGATTGATTCAGACGAACCGAGGACCGCGTCGCCACCAAGCCCTGGGCCATCGGACACCGACACTTGCTCGATGCCGCTGCCCGGCAGTGAGGCCTATTACAGGAAGCCATCAACTAGCCGCGACATTAAGGCGGGGTTCCAGCGCGGCAGACATCTCATTTCCGTGGTGGCGAATGACAACACCGTGCCAGCGCTTCGGAATGACGATAAGTTGATGTTCGGTAGTGAGGCCTATGACCTGGGACCGTCAAATAGCCGTGGCGTTGCGGTGCGAACGCGAGAGAAGTTTTGATCTCACGGCAGCGGACGACGTTATGCCAGCTGTCCAAGATGCCGTGGATCGTTTTCTTCTGCGGTAGCGCACCGTTCAAGTACATTTGGAACCTCATTTCGTGTCCTTGGAAGCCGCCGATAAGCAAGCCAGCAGTGTCTGCGATGCGCTTTGCAAAGTGACGGCAACGCAGCGCAAATTCAGGTTCGCGCAGCAGACGGAGCAAACATCGGCACCAAAAGATGACGAGTTCACTTTAGTTCAGGTAGGTTCTTTGTAGAATAAAAACTGTGATAAAAATTTTTGCAGAATGTCACGTCAACCATCCCAATGGCTGAAACATGGGCTTTTACTATGTTTTGTTGTCACTTCAGGTTTTTGAAGTTATATTGTACAATGATGCATAAAAAAATTCATAATTCCAGAACTACTAAAGATAGCTAAACGAAACTTTGTCATTTATAATTCAAAGCAGTGTCCAATAAGCATGTCAAATTTCATTGCTCTACAACAAAAACTACAGAATTCCGCCTTCGATCCCCACCTGCCCCCTTATATTGTGTCATGCTATGCCGATAAGGTAGTGCTCTCTGAGATTCTTATAACCCAGGAGAACATTGGAAAAAAAAAAAAAGAAAAAAAAACAAGAAAAAGCCGTCCGCTATGTTTACAAACGGATTAGACATCTTGATTCACCTTCAGCTATGCTACAGGTGGCTGAATTAGAGCCACTATATGTAAGAAAGAACGGTACTTTTGAATTCTTATCTTCACTTTGCACTAAAAATCGCATTATAACAAAGTTCAGTCTTACTCGAAAATAAGTTCATCATATCCAAAAAGTTGTTATAAAGGTTTATTACTAACACTGTAGCTATTGCAAGACTATTTTTCATTTACTTTGTTATAACCGGTATTTCGGTATATGTGGGTTTCGTTATATTGTGTACTTTGGTAAGCTGGAAACAAACCCTGTTGATTAATTGTGGAAGCACATACGGCAAGCCTCACTTTACAAGCACAGTCATTGCATCAATCCTTATTCTCAAGAACTAATTTATAGAGGTGTGCGAATAGCAAAATTTGAGGTGGGAAGCAAATTCGTATATGTATAGAATATTCTTGGAACATTTTTTGAACATATTGAAGTGATATTGTAGACATAAAAGGTTGGAGAGTATTCTAAAGTATATTCTTAGGACATAGCAACATAAAAGGGCTTTCTTTGGGAAGGTTGATGAAGTGCTGAAAGGGTGGTGTTTCAACCTTTATCTCAAATGTAGGCCGAAAGAAACAGGGAAGGCAGCGTTTACAAAGAAAAAACATTTATTGAACACGAACATGAAATAACGCAGTTGATTCATGATGCAAATAAATTGAGAAACATACAGCCGCTACTCCTGTCGTGTATGTTTCCTTGTCGTTTTTTTCGCGCTGCTGCTGTGCTTGCCGATGCCGGGCTCATTCCGAGTTGTCACTGCTTTCCTTCACGCTGGCTTCTTTGTCGCTGTCTTCAAACAGTGCACTGTCCTCGGTGCCATCAAGGGCATTGGATATGCTGCCCTTCTTAAGGGGGCAGGACTGGTTTTAGACATTTTTTTGTTTATTTCTTCAGTGATCTTGATCAGGATTATGCAGTTTGTTCTGCTGAATTCAAATATTAATTAGTTTTCTTGTAACCCATCTTGTTGCTGAGATAACTTAAGTTCACCCCCTATTGTTTAAGGCCGCCATAGAAAAAAAAGTACTTAATTTAAGATATGCCAACATAGACTAATGACTATAGATTGAAATTATGGAAGAGTTTTTTGTTTTTAGGCCTTTCTTGGTTATTTACAGCACAATGGACTATACATTTTAAAAGCAGTTGAAATTGTGTTACAATTTTCATGAGTAATAATTAAAAAGGCTTGGGCTCTAAATTCTGCTCCTATACTTGCATTCTACACGCATACAGGTTTCCATTGCAAAAAGAATTATTGTTGTACCAGCCCTAGTCGCAGAGATAATAAGGCCTCTAAATTGAACTGTCGTAAATTTACTTTATTGATACAAATGGAAAAAGCTGAAAACACACAGCTTATTCAAAAAGCAACAATCATGGTGGGCATGTTTTGCAGTCCTCATAAATGTGCTTATAAATTCGTAGCAGAGCTTCTAACACAGGTGCCGGCAAATCATAAAGAAGCCTTGAAGTCGGTTTCTCATTTCTTTGCACGTTCTTTAATTAAACAACACCAAGAATCTGGACAGTTATAATGACTTTACAAAAAAATTACCACTTCATGGTGTGTGAAAATTTGCAAAAGATAGAAAAATACTTGCAGAAACCAAATGTCAATTTTAAAAAATGAATTTTTGTCACTTTTTGGTGCCAAAGACAAGTCTGCCCCCTTAAAAGAGCGCATAATCAAATTTCTTGGGTTGTCATCCCACGCTGCAGCCCCTCTAGCGACGCACATTTTTTGTTCACTCTGTTTCGCCCCGCTTGAACGTTGGACGGCGACTCCACAGCTAGGTCAACTTTTCTTTTATAAGCCGCACTCTAATGACACCGCCTGTTTGGCGCCATTGAGCTTTGCTACTCACAGACCACTTGAAGCGTGACTCAAAATGACTAACAACTCGCCTCAAGGAATCAAACCATGGAGCAGTCTCGTATTCACTAGTCATCGTGGCAGCTAAAAAAAGGTTTTTTTAGTCAAGTGCGACCTCTTAAAAAAAAATACAAGTTTGTTCAGCATGTGAATTGAACCACTTAACATCACTGTCACAAGATCAACTACTTAGCACAATCATGTGATTCCTGGCAAGCACAAATCGTGGCATTTTTATGTGCCATAGCAGACTAGAATAGCTTAAAAGTCTACTGTTTTCAATATAAATATATGTTAAAGTAAAATATTACTATAGAAAAAAATCGCATCTAGATTATTCTATGCGTACTTGAAGCTATGTATTCGTTTCCGATATGTATTCGAAAAATTCGGTATTCGCATACCCCTAACATGGACATTTGAAACTCTGGATGCTACAAATCTTTGATGTTTGATTTTTGGACTTCCTTCTCAATTTTCAGGTGCAAAACAGCATTAAACTAGGTCCCACTTCTGCCATATCTATCATCTCCATGTCAGAACCACTGTTTTTTTTTAGTCAATACTAGGGGTGTGCGAATATACAAATTTTGAATATTTTCCTAATAGTTTTCTTAATATTTGATTGGATTTTTTATAGAATTTTCGTTATTCAAACTATTCGAATTTCTCAAAGACATATACAGCTAATGCCCAATTAAGTCATTCTCTAGATTTAAAAAAAATGTTTCACCTCATTGCACTGTCGTATTGCGGCAAAGCTGTCTTTCAGGCTCTGCTTTTGCGCAGATCTATTGACTCAAGAAAACGCTGGTTCCAACGTGGCGATGATAGATGTTTCAAAAGTGGTGTTTTAATTTATGCTGTTTTGGGCAGGAAGGTGTAAGAATTGCAAGCTGAAGATTTTAGCATTCAAAATCAGTTGTGTTTACCTTATATACAGTCGCCGACCGATTTTCCGGACTCCAAAAATTCGGACTTGTTGGATATTCCGGACTTCATAAATGCACCGTCAGGGATCCCATAGAGCTAATGCATTGTTTCGACCAATTTTTCGGGCGAATTTGCCCCTGAAAGTTCGATTTTTCGGACTAAATCGCTCGTTTTGTGCCACGCTTCAAGCCATTGTGAACGCCGCCATGTTGGATTTTCCGTCGGCTTGGCTAAGCTTGGTCTTCAGATGCCTTTCCTGCCTCTGAGATTGGAATGCGCACGCCATATTTTAAGTTTCGGAGGCCGTGTTTGCTTTTTAAAAGACGCGGTGATGGATGCCGTTTTTTC